CCCCGTTGCCCTAAAAACCCGAAGAAGGCGAAAAACAGAAAAAAATTGAAAAGCTCGGAAAACTCATTTTTTTAATGAGACTGAAAGCACTGAAAAGCTGTGAATTCAATCCTGGAGGCATTTTCCAGTGTCTCTGGGTCACCGAGAGAGCGATGTCACCACTGTCGCACCATCCCCGGGACCCCCGAGCCGCCAAACGACCATATGATTCCAGAAAAACAAAAAGAAAAACAAAAACAATGGACAAAAAAATGACATGAGAAAAGCCCGATTTTCCGTAATTTCCCCGTTCATCCTAAATTATCATTTCAATCATTAAATTGTGAAAAATACTTTTCCGGTTCATTCACGCGTCATTAATGGCAGTTGACACGCACAACCATTGAACAATGGGATTCGTAGAGGGTGTGGGAGGTGGGAAAACTGCGGAAAATTTGGGGAAAACTAGCGGAAAATCGCGGAAAAATGATAGAAAATTTTTTAAAAATGAAAAAGAACGAAAAAAATTGGAAAAAAAATTTGGGTGTGAGGGGGTGGTTTTGGGAGTACTTACTCGACGATACAGAGCAGGTGAGCTTCATGGAACGTGCAGTGACTAGCGTTGAGCGCCGGGGATGATGTGAATTCAGGCCATTTGGAGATTTAATCCAGATAATTCGTGAGATAAATTGTTCAGGGAATTTAGGATAAATTACTTATAACTTTACCCGTGATGTTTTAATCATAACGAGGATTTTTATCACATATCAGGCACCACACCCCAAATTTCACCCCGAGCCCCGAAAAAAATAAAATTCCCGAGCTTATTCTCACGAGTAAAAAAGATGATTTTTTTATCTACAGAGATTGTTTAATTCAATAGTTTTTTCATTTTTCGGGAAATTGCGGGGAATTTTTCGCGGGGGTGGGAAGTGAGGGGACGGCACAAGGGGCTGCACAAACATCACACACCATCGAGATTATTTAAATAATTTTTTGAAGCCTGTCGTTGACAATTTTTCAGTAAAAAATTTGGATTTTGAATTTTTCTTTTTCTGATTTTTTCTCATCCCCGTGAGAAATTTAAAATGCACGACAGAATGCGATGGAAATTGTTTTGAAACATGTTGCGATACTTTTTGGGGGATGAATTGTGCAATGCATTGAGAGTTTTAACGTGGTGCACACACCCGTCGTGGTGATAGAGAGACTGGGAATAAAAAATTCCTACAATAGCGAGGCAACTCCGTTGAGGGGGG